ATATACTTCGTAGGTTAAATAGGCAACGCTGAATACTGACTAAAAGTCTCAACATTTGCTGTCTGCACGTGTTATCTTCAATTAAAGAATGGATCTAGTGCCCGTTCGTAGGTAGCAAGTGTAAACCGGCGGAAAATGATAGTTCTTTGTTTTGTCTAGGACTCCTTTACATAGTTCACATACAGTCGCTTTATGGACTTGATCCATAAATTCTAGCCACCTTGGCTGACTCTCTGCAAAGAGTTAGAATATAACTATTCGCTTGAGTCAGTTCGCGATGCGTTATGACGATAATCTACCTTATAGATAATATCTTATACGGTTTCAACTACTTTGGACTCCAATAAAAACGACTCCACGTCGGAATATCAGAGCTACAATAAAAACGTTAGTTACTAGCTGACAATCAATCATTGTTTATGTGATTAGATGTTGATATGGAGTGAATTCATACTTTGGTTTTGCTACAGACTGATTTAAGACGGTAAAACCTATAGCACTAACGTCATGTAAAAGCGAAAACTTTTTCAACATTCATCTTTTCGCAAATAAAGAATACAGTTCCTTTTGGCTTTTAAGTGATTCCGGAGACACTTTACAAAGGCTTATTGTATATTGTTCTCCAAGCTAATCACTGTCTATGGTTTGTGAGTTACAACGGTCAGGTTGGCTTATAGAGATGTCTCAACTATGTGTAATGAATAATGCTGATCGATGGATAAAGACTTAATAATTTAATATAACCATCAGATCAAGTATTAATTTCTTTTCAAACTTTCTGCTTATCTTAGCAATCTTATGAATAAACAAGATGGATTAGTATGACTTAAAGTTTGCCATTAAAGTTGATATATATTCTATTAAATCGGTGACTAAGAAATCTATGCAAACAACAAGACGTATTAACAGGACACTCTAACATTTGCATATTTTAAATTAATGAGTTCATACCAAGTTTGATCTGTAAATAACATGTTTTTGGATAGGTAAACACACCTCAGTATTATGATAATAAAGGCAGGAAAAACTAAGACAGTATATTCCTTCTCAGTTTATTGACGGATCGTACGAGCATTTTGTCGTCTTTGAGGACATTGAACTTGCATGCGTACATGTAAACAACTGTATATTTGTATTACTAAAATCCTTCATCAGCTGTGAGAACGAAAGTTATGTTTAGTTTTTCTTTTATTACTGTTATATTAGGCCAAAATGGGTTGTGTAACTCCAGTTAATATGGTTGTAACTATACAATTACTAATAATTCACAAATTGTGGTTGACAACTACTGAATTTAATAGAATGATATTTTAATCTATTCATGGTTATCTGTAATCGATTATCTGTTACAGCACATCGTAATGCAGAAAATACCATTATTTAAACAACTCTTCAAGTGCTTGTTAGAAAAATATAATACATCATAGAAATTGTTCCAAACATTTAAGATGTAAGTAGCCACTACAACTTGTTTACTGTATACCCATGATGGATCATGGGTTCAAACGATTACTTGTATTCACGGTAGAAATTGAATTTCTCAACCTCACATCTAGTAAATGCACTTTGAGGTTGTTTAAGATACTTTAAGTAACCATTATACTGGAATTTCGTGTCAAGTGTTAGAAATTGATGAAAATTGTCAATAAATATATACCATCAAATTCGTGGCTCATAAATGTACGGTTGTGTACATAGTTATCTTTGTAATATGTGGTGATTTATTCACGATTTCCTTGAACTGTCGAAAATAGTGATGTTTAATTGAACTAATAAAGGAATGAATGAGCTATTAATTCACGAGTTGATTCATTCCATCCTAAAACAATTGAATATATATTGTATTCGGCAAAATATTTCGCTTATGTGTATATACTTCTTTATGACTGATTCTCTCATTATTTCGTTGGCATCACGTGCTTGGACGCACTAGATTTATCTGTATATTGCTTTTATAATATTTGCCTAAGTAAGCTGGTACATATTACAATATCAAAAGGGATATTATAATATGCAATATATTTGATTATTTCCAAACGTTGAATTGGTAAAGTAACTGTCATCTCACTGATAACAGAAAGATTTCCAGGATTTCACAGCGCATGTATATTTATGATAATAATAATAATTTAAAGAAAAAACATAGTTACTCAAAAGATAGCTGGATTTTTAAGTTACAGTTTTGATTATTTCTACAGAAAATTATCAATTTAGTTCTCATTGCTAATTCCCACCGTTTTCCTTAACATAACTAAGTATGTCATTCTTTGCTACTGCATCCTATTTGTTTTATGACTGAAATATTTAATTATGTCTATCAGTTGACATTTAACGCTAGGTACAATTTTTAACGATATGCTATGTCATCATCTGGTTCATGTTCTATTCAGAAAGATTTAGAAGGAGAAAAAAGTGCCGACGAACCCGGATGAAGGTCACTTCATCAAGATGCCAAAGAAGATCCTAACAAATGTAAGACCTACAGAGGTATCACACTATAATCAGTACCGGCAAAGGTTTTCAACAGAATTTTGCTAAATTGAATGAAAGATTCAGTGGACGTCTAGCTCCGAGATCAACAGACTGGATTCCGTAAGGATAGGTCGTGCATAGATCAAATCGAGACACTAGATCATCGTTAAACAATCAACTGAATGGAACTCATCGTTATAGATCAGAAGGATGAATAGAAACTAAAAACAACTGGAAAGGGTCACGCAGCATAGAGTACGATAGGTAATCCTGGTCAACGGTCTATGGTCCTTTACGAGGAGGGTGACGTGCATAAGTAAGTACTATGTTATAATTTACTATTAAATTAATTTACTGACTTTTGGTTTTTAACTTTTATGTTAATATTTTCATGAACTATTAAAATTATATTTCCAGAGTTGTTTGCACTAGAAAAACTACTCTTTGTAAAAATTACTTTCACAAAAATTTTAATTTATGATTACAATAATTGCACTATTCTATTCAATAATTCTCTGAAATATTACCTTTCAACTCAGTAAAGTTTAGATATTGATATAAAATTTTAAAACAATTGTGTTATGCCTCAATAAGCATAATGAATGGTAACTTTTGAGATCAATTATGGACCAATACTATGCGTATATTGTTAAATAACTAAACTGTTCATATTGGTGGCCCTCTTATAATAAGCTTATTTTGATCTATGAACTACTATTATACAATTTACCATTCTTGAATTATGCCCTGTCTATTAATCACTACGTTCCACATTCAGAGCCACTTTTGGCCAAATCTTGTTCAAATGTTGTTTTCTATATATGGTACATTGTGGTCTGTTTGATTGATATATAAACTCAGTATGTTTGAAATATAATGATTCATATCAAAGAGGCTCAAATTAGTGTTCTGGAATCAACTGACTGGGTTAGTCAGGAATCAGGATCAATAAGTATTCTAGACTGTTTGTACGGGTTTTACGCGTCATTGGTCCGATCGATAATTCATTGCTCTCTCATTGGCGGTATCATTACTTTATACATTAACAGAGCACACAAGCCACAAGTTATAACAAATTGATATAAAGTATTTTTCTATATTTAAAACAAAATACAAATAAATAATTAAATTAAAATCTTATTTTACATATAACTAAAAAATATTAAATATTCTTAAAAAATAATTTGTCTACATTCATATATAGTTTATCCATAATTTTATGATACTACTGTGTTACTTGTTTCAAATCTGAAATTAAAATAAAAACAAAAACAAAATGAAGATTCAAATAAACAACAAACTTAAAAATTACAAAACAGAGTTTCTAAATGAAAAAACAAAAAAAGAATGATCAATCATTAAACAATAAATAAAATAAAAAACTTTTTACGGGAAATTAGATTGTAAAGTGTGATCGATAAATGAACTCGTCAATGATAAAGTGAAACGCCAACCAACTTTCTTTGACCTTGTATGACTATGTCTTGTTTATTTATCAATCACAATTTTATGTTCATGATAAAATAATATTTGCTATGTTGACTGACTTTCCCTATCCTCTAGTTACTGTTCAGTATGTTATTTATGTCTCTGTTTTTCCCTGTGTTAATAGACTGTACTGTTTGTTTTGTACACTAATGGTGTTAATTTATATTTTTAAGAAACAGATAAAGTTTATCAAGCCAAATAGTTTACTTGTTCTGAATTTGGCTAAACCAAGACTCTGTGTTCGACAGTCTAGAGAATAGCTTAGAGTTACACCTGTAGGAAATTGCTTCCTACATCGGTATTAAAAAGTGTATTAAAACTGTATTGTCACTATGTAAATGTTAATATAGTTTTTTTTTTACTTAATGAACATTATTTATCGAAAATTTTATGAGTAATTTCTTAAATACGATTCAAAATTTCGTTATCTTTTTTATGGTTTAACATGATTTTAATAACCAATCATACGATTCCACAAAACATGATCTTGAATAACTTAAATGATTGAATTCATGAATCAATTTAAGTTAAACCCCCCATAGATAAACCTGTATGCACTAGACGATCATTTCATCCTAGTATGAGACTGTTCATTAGTGAACATTTACGATCCAGCTTATATGGATTCATAAAAATTCAACCATCGAATTACCATAATCTCCACAAACTCTCTATACTGATATTTAAAAAATGTATCTAGACGTTACAAGTAAATCAATTTCAATGAAATTTATTTCTCTAGTTGAAATCATGAATCAATTGAAGCTAGACCACCATGGAACACCTGGAAGCACTGAACGGCCGTTTCGTCCTAGTATTTCCGTTATTTCTGTTATCATTAACTAAAATTTTGATAGAGTATAATCTCACGATTTCAGTGTATTTTCAGTGTAAAATGAATGTATTTCTCAATTTACAGTTATCTTTTGTACCAGTTAATAAGTATTATTATTAGTATTAGTATTATTAAATATATATTACTTACCACTATTAATTCTGGTGTATTTGTCAAAGTGATGAAATTAACGTCATGTTTTATTCTAATCCATATATCTGTTAAATGTATCCTTTCTAGAATAAAACAATAAATTGAAATTAGATTATTTAACCATTGGAAATTTGTAACTTTTTAATTCGAACTAAATAAGATTTATTGGTGTGACTATAATTTATGGACGACCTTTGACAGTATCCACCTACATACTAGGGCTAACTGATGGTTATAAAGCAGTTTGAAGAATAAGGATTATTATTTACAGTTGATGATTTAGGTTAGGAATTAGCTATAATGTCAAAATTCTATCTAACCAAATGGGTGAATGAATTTCGCAACAAAATCTAAGACTTGTTGACGTAAATCTGACTGGTTTGTCCATAAATTATAGTCTCGCCGATTTATTATTGACACTATTCAAAAAATCATAAATTTACTAGTGTAACATATAATAAATCATCTATTACTAAATAATCTTAATCAATTTGGTTCAAGCCAGGTGACATGTTAAATACTACAGACGGAATAAATAAATTTAAAAAAAAACAAGAAACAATTTCAATCATATGCTTCAAAAGTTACTAAATTACATAATTCACTACAGAATTTCTATGGTATTAGTTACAATAATTCTATTTATGATACTAATATACTTTGTTTGTTTTGTTTTTCACAAGAAGCATTTTGTTGCATAATAAAGAGTAGGTTCTGGGTTCGAATCTCGCGAGGTGGGGGATCGTGGATGCGCGCTGCTGAGGAGTCCCATACAAGGACAAAACGGCCGTCCAGTGCTTACAGGTTTTCCATGGTGGTCTAGCTTCAATTGCCTCATGATTTCAATCTGTGAAATTTCTAAAATCTCCACAAACCTCTACTGATAATAAAGAGTATCGAGAAAAAATTATGCAATCAATTCAACTTACTCGCGAACTATTTTCAAATTGGGACGTTGTGGAATAGAGTACGAATATGTGTTTCCATTACTAGAAACAGAACTAAAAAATTGTAAAAACAAAAGAAGAAAATAAAAGGTTTAACAATAAATTATTGTTTGATAAATAGAAATATCAAATGAGTAAAACAGCCGATACCGTACATAGTTGAACTGTAAAAGATACTCCCCAGAGTGCATTAAAAGGAATTATAAATACTGAAACAGGATACCAAAATATAACCGCAAATAAAAACATACAATATAAACCATCGACAATGTACCAATAAACGTTTCAACAAATTCAATTTCAACACAATTGAAATGAAAGCAAAAAACATATCAATCAAACAATCAGACACAGTAACATTAAGACTTAACTAAAAACACTACGATAATTATCATAATTTAATATATACCAATAAATGCATTGCATCAATGAAACTAATTCACTACTGTCAATCTCAGACACAGAGACATGCATTCCAAAACATAATCTGATATCCAAAACAATCGAGAAATCCTATTTTCTAATATTCTTAAATAACACTAATTGAAGTAAAACTAACAGAACTACTACAATAAATGACGAAGGTATCACTGACATGTTCATCAAACAAATCAATAAGGCCATGAGCAACAATAAACGATTCTCAATAGGATATAGGAGAAATCAGTTCACATAACCGTGAATTTCAAGTCATACAATCACAAAACTAACATCCACAACAGATCCCACAAACTACATCATTTCTTGTTCAAAAGGAAACAATAAAATCCAAACCATATAAAGAGAACAGAATGCAAACACATTGCACACAAATAATATATAGGTCGAAATTTAGCACTACAAATCTTCCGTGTTTACATGCGCATGATACCACTCACCTAGGTACTGGTAAATCACCCATTAAATTTCTTGAGTATGGAGAGGCGTTTCGTGGTTCGAATCCGTCTCGAATAGTTCTGTATTGAGAAATATTTAAAAACACAACAATATAAATCATTTGAGGAAATCATTGTGTCTAAATTCATTAAAAACGAGTAACTGGTTAAAGTACGTGTTTATATTCGGCTAACACGTCGAGAATATTTTGTGTGTTTTCGTGAACCCTTAGTGGTTGTAGGAGTTTTTTTAAATATTCAATTAATCGAAACCATCACAGTTTATTTTAGAATTCAGCATAAAGTCACTTTTATAATGTCCTGTATTTGTATGTAGTACTGATTGTTCGATGGAAAATTACTGACATATTGAAAATTTTGATTTTGCAGAAACGTTTTAAAATTTACTCGGAATTTTAAATCGCATTATCTCAATTCCAAACGTCATGTATTATATAGATATTATAACACTCACCTACTTGTTGGTAAAGCACTCTTGTAACGGTTTGCGTGTATATGCTCACTAGTGTATGCATGTTTTTCGGATGGAAAAGTTACGTGGAATTGAAGTAGGAGCATATTCTTAGCTATAGTATACAAATCAATGTCTTTAAACACTTGAAGTGTAAGGTATGTTTTCATAACTAGGAAAAGCTGAGAAATAATATTTTTTACATATTTTTAAAGATACCGTAACAACTTTCACTGTAAAAGGATGTATTTAAGCATTCTGATCAAATCACATGATCACTTAGAAAGTGATTCTATGGACAGAATATAAAAACAACTAATATTTGATTTCCACTATCCCAAGAGCACAAAGTCAATCCTTGTCCTCAAAGTATATCATCATCGTACCAAACAACATTCTATAAATCTTAAGAGTCTATTAACTGGCAATTTCAGATGTTGTGGTCTCAGTATGAGTGATGCAGACAAATATCGTTAATGCCTATCTAATACACGGACTTGACAGAAACGTAGGTCAAAGGCGGCAAAGAATAACGGATATGAGAATGGCTTCTAACAAACATTAAGAGGATCTGTGTGACCCAACTCCATTTAACCAAGCGTTAATCAATATTTATAGTCAGCGAAAACAAGTTACAGACATGTGATGAGTAAGACCACAAATGCACATACATACGCGTATATAAAAACAGCGAGGTTGATATTGATAATAAGCGACATGGTAGAAATGTGGTTAGAGAAGAACGAGTAGATTGATTTGTCAAGAGCCTAGAACAGCCATTGTGATCTTGACATAATACCAGCCCCAACACCATAAAAGATTTCTGATGTGACATTATTCATCAGTTAGATGTATAATTTTCCAGTAAATCATCAGTGCTCTAATCTCTTAATTTTTTAAAAGTGTTTTTGATGCATAATATTTAATCATTAGTCATTCTTTATTGTGTTTGGCACTTTATTCATTAACTGAAATGTTACACTCAATGGCAATTAGCTGACTAAAATAAAACAACTGCAAATAATAAACTTGAAATAAATGATAATGGTTAAATTACAAACTGAAAAGCAAAACCACATACTAATAGAGTCCGATCGTATAAATCATGTATTATTAAAGAAAATAAGCAGAAGTGGTCAAATATTCTCAAACATATATATTAGTCTATATTTTGTAATATAAATGATAGGAATTTAGAGTTTCAGCTTAAATTTACTCTAAAAATTCTCAATCACTTTGTTTACAAACTTCTCTATGAAAACAGTTATTATTTGATGAAGCCAACTAAACTGTGACGGCCTGATAATAATACAGATTTTGCAACTAACTTATTGATAAGTGAATGAATATGCATTTATGTATCTTGAAAATGACTAGTTTTATTATGATAAAACTATTTAAGCTTAATTTGTATTTTATACCAGCACAACCTGTATCACCGACAAATAATTCGTTATTAAATGGCCAGAGAAAACGTGTCTTTGATCTCTTGATTCTGTAGTTTGTCTTGCAATACCATGATTTTACACAACAGCTTTGGATAACAGTATGACAACAACCTATATATGAGTATGACGAATAATAATCATCTGCTCACTAGTAAATGACTTCAAGAGGCATATCCTGAAGTTCTAGTGAGAAGCCGTAACCAGTGGAGTTCATCCAGGTGTGTTGTGAGATATCAGCTCGCTGAAGACAATGGTGTACGGTGGCACGATTTCATGGATTAGCTGAAGTTAGACATCAACACCTTTGAATACCAGCTCAGTGGTCTAACGGTTAAGCTCTCGTGTGCCGGACTGATAGGTTCTGGGTTCAAATCTCGCGGGGGGCGGGATCGTGGATACGCACTGCTGAGGAGTGCCGTATTGGGACGAAACGGCCGTCCAGTACTTCCAGGCTTTCTATGGTGATCTAGCTTCAATTGACTCATGATTTCAACTATTGAAATGATAGACTTAAACTTTTGACATTATTCAACCATCTGATGAAACGTGAACGTCTCCAGGTCAGTAGTAAAATTATTCAAGTTATTCTCATTCAGATTTTGTGTATACTGTCTAAGTTTACTGACTTGAAAGGGAATGTGATTTTAAACGAATATAAACAAGTGCATCATGTAGTTATTGATAGACTTGGCATACGTAAATATTCATTGTGACCTATGTTTAGACACTAGAAGCTCGCCTGTAGTCTACTCTAGTCACTTTCTTTTGATTATACTAGGAAAATAAGTTGGGTAAATAATTTACAACAATCATATTTAAATTTAATCGCAAAATACTATGTGAATCTCAATAACGAATAGAACATTCTTTGAAAAAAATGTAAATTTAAAAAGTTGTTTCAATCAAACGGAATATTTATTGAAAAGCAATTTTTATAAACTATTATTATTTGTGCAGATATTATATTACTGACCTAGGTTCTGACACATTATTCGTTAAATTATTTGAACGATTTAATTTCACAGGAATATAGTGAGGTTCATAAGTTTCCCGATTGTGTCTGTAGTGAAATGAACAGAAAGGAACAAACCGAAGTATAATGACATAAATTAACTAACTGTTATAATCACATACATAATGTAGACAGTTGGATAGCAAAAAGAGGAACGAAAAAAGAGAACAAGAGCACTAGATTAATCATGACCACATTTTATAAGAAAAGTTTATATAAACCAAATTTTTAAAAAAAAATAACTAAAAAGTTAGCTACAAATAACAACATGTTATTAAACAATAAAAAAGAAGAACTTCAATCGATAAACCACATATAAGACATTCACTACAAGCCAAATGAGTAAGCTTTGGTGGTGTAATTCTTGAAAATGAAATGATATCAACATAGTAAGAGAATATAATAATAAACATACTTTGCAATTTCTGTAATTACTAGACAAACGATTTCTTAAAATAAGTAAAAACTGTGGTTTGTATCATTCAAGTGAGAAAATAGTTATTGATGTCTATGATGAGTTATTCCATCTTTTATAGCACATCAACAACTTAAACCGACATTCTCAGTTACGTGTTGATTTTACTTACACTTTTTTATGAACCAACAAATATCACAAATAGTAAAAACATATTAAATTGTTAATAAGAAGTTGTGGAGATCGTTGAGTTGCATTGAAATCATGAACCTATCAATGATAGACCATCATTGAAAACTTTAAAGAACCTAAAGGCCGTTTCATCCAAACAGGGGATGCTTCATCGATACACACCCACGAGCCTGGGTGAGGAAATCGATTACAGGATCTCTAGACTCACACACAACCGTTTAACCTCTGGGCCAATTAGTTGACATCCATCACATCCCCATTAGTGGCTAGCTTCGACGTGAAATTTCCAGAGTTCTAGTGGAGAGTGGTGATCCATGGAGTTGATGCGTCGGTTGTGAAACGGTGAGGTGTCTAGTACTATTTCAAGTTCATATTGGGTTGTCCTAACTGCCAACAGACCAATTTATTTATTCTTCTTAAGTTTCATTTTAACCTCGTAAATTATTCGCTTACAAACCATGACTACTTTTATATGAGCGTATGTGTGTATCCCTCACCCTATTCATCACAAGTATTTGGCGTTTCTTTATCTGGCTATAAATATTGAGTCAGGTTTAATGAAACCGAGTTTGCACACTTGCGTTCTATGATCTGCTTCTACACTTCGTTTCGCCGCTTGTTTGTCTGAATCAAAGAGTGTATGAAAAATATTTGTATTCGAAATTCATTCTCGCATTTGACTTATTTTAGCCCGTTATTCACTAACGCAAAATAAGTCGATAATAAGATACGAGGGTTGACTGCATGTAGATTTTGGTACGATCATCAAACGATTAAACGAAGTCCTCTATACGAACCACAAAAACAGTTTCCCACTGAAGACGGTGGAAGATGGCCGCGTACTATCGCATATCCATTGAAGCTAGACATAGAAACCGTTGGATGCCGTTTCAATGGTCCAGAAGTTAGACGTTCGCGCGCGAGCTCAAGGGTCCTGTGCTCAGTTTTCGCATACAGGTTCGCGGATGTACAATGTTGAGGCCTCCCATACTAAGACAAAACGGCACTTCGGTTCTTTGAAGTTTCCAATGATGATCTAACACTGATTGGTTCATGGTATTAACGAAATACAATGATTATTACATAATCAATCATGCTCTGTCTTATGAAAAAGAAAATCACACTAAATCAATACAAAATATATTATTATTTTGAATAAATTTCGGATCAAAGTAAAACCATTGCTATACTTAATAATACACCATACTGACTATGAATCAAACATTAGACTAAACAATTGTCCGGTTACATTGAAAATGAAACTAATGCTGGACAGAACTTACAGAGTGAAAAATGTGACCTCATCCGTTCATCGTTTTCTAACAACTTCTTATTCTTTCGAGGCGGATTAGATTTTCAAAACTCAGTAAATCCATGGTTTTAACAGTGGTGATAAGAAAATAATTTTAATATACTTTTCACAAGTAATACGGTCAAACCACTTCTCTAACTCAACAACAGCAAAAGCGATTAGAAGACTAGGAACAATAATTAACGGAAATATCGTCTGTAAACTATTATTACTCTTAAACTGGTAATTTATCAGGTGAAGTAAATGCAGCTTTGAAGTTTGTATTTAAGCTTTATTTCAGCTTAAAATTCAATACACTTCCCAATGTTTATTATGAAAGAAATAAAGAGCTGTTTAGGATTACTTTGGCTAAACTGAATATGAGTTCAAAGGCTGATGTTCACCTCAACGAATGGAGTTCAAGCGAACTTCGTTTTCCTAAGACAATCACTTTTAAAAGTAATCTGGGAGTTTTTTTCCAGTTTTATCATTTGTTTTAGCTGTCCAAGGTTATCTAATAAATCCGATAGTAACTATGTTGCTCATTTGTATAAGATGAATGGCGAATCCAGGAGGTTACATATTGTTTCAATATATAAAGTTCACTTCAACTGTAATATATTTATATTTAATGCAAACAAGGTTTATCAAATGCATAACAAGAATAATCATTATTTCATTACTATGTGAGAGGAAAACTCAAATAGATTATTAAGTTAAAGCATGATGTTGAACTGGTGAAACGATGAAAAACACGAATAGTGGAAAAGATTCTGTTGTCAAATTAACTCATTAGACATTATGTCTGAAAGAAGAATATAGTGTATCCATGGTACTTCAGAGACCTTTGACAGTTTAGAAATAATTACCTCAATATGTATCACTTGTAAATAAATAATCAAATAAGAGTGGAATCAATGCAAAAATGAGAGTATTGATAAAATTGTTAATGTGCTACGGAAGATGAAATAAAACACTCGACAGTGTTCTACTATCAACTTTAGAACAACAGTCTTCCCGTTCCGATTCTCTGTGAATTTAAGACTATTTCATCTATTTAAAAACAGATTTCACATAAATGACACAATCAGCAAATTTATATTACAATATTTCCTTATTTATGCAAACATTATACCACTCACTGAACCTCCGGCAAATCTCCCATTAAATTATTTGAACGACTGGCATATGGCGATAAGCGGCGCGGTTCATGTGCAGTATAAGTGCTTCTAAATTAAAAGTTATTTGAAAGATGCAAATTTAAAATGAATTATTCGAGAAAGTTGATGCAAGTTACTCGACTTGAAGTATAGGATTAAAAATAGTACGAATGAAGACAGGTAGTCGACACAAAGAACAAGGGGTATCGAGAAACCTTTCAACACAATTTGACAAAAGACAGAAACATATCAATCAAACAATCAGACACAGTAACATTAAGACTTAACTAAAAACACTACGATAATTATCATAATTTAATACATACCAATAAATGCATTGCATCAATGAAACTAATTCACTACTGTCAATCTCAGACACAGAGACATGCATTCCAAAACATAATCTGATATCCAAAACAACCGAGAAATCCTATTTTCTAATATTCTTAAATAACACTAATTGAAGTAAAACTAACAGAACTACCACAATAAATGACGAAGGTATCACTGACATGTTCATCAAACAAATCAATAAGGTCATGAGCAACAATAAACGATTCTCAATAGGATATAGGAGAAATCAGTTCACATAACCGTGAATTTCAAGTCATACAATCACAAAACTAACATCCACAACAGATCCCACAAACTACATCATTTCTTGTTCAAAAGGAAACAATAAAATCCAAACCATATAAAGAGAACAGAATGCAAACACATTGCACACAAATAATATATAGGTCGAAATTTAGCACTACAAATCTTCCGTGTTTACATGCGCATGATACCACTCACCTAGGTACTGGTAAATCACCCATTAAATTTCTTGAGTATGGAGAGGCGTTTCGTGGTTCGAATCCGTCTCGAATAGTTCTGTATTGAGAAATATTTAAAAGCACAACAATGTAAATCATTTGAGGAAATCATTGTGTCTAAATTCATTAAAAACGAGTAACTGGTTAAAGTACGTGTTTATATTCGGCTAACACGTCGAGAATATTTTGTGTGTTTTCGTAAACCCTTAGTGGTTGTAGGAGTTTGTTGAAATTTTCAATTAATCGAAACCATCACAGTTTATTTTAGAATTCAGCATAAAGTCACTTTTATAATGTCCTGTATTTGTATGTAGTACTGATTGTTCGATGGAAAATTACTGACATATTGAAAAGTATGATGTTGGAGAGACATTATAGCACTCACCTTGTTGTTGGTAAATCACCCATTAAATTCTTTGCGTATGGAGAGGCGTTTCGTGGTTCGAATCCGTCTCGAATAGTTCTGTATTGAGAAATATTTAAAAGCACAACAATGTAAATCATTTGAGGAAATCATTGTGTCTAAATTCATTAAAAACGAATAACTGGTTTAAGTACGTGTTTATATTCGGCTAACACGTCGAGAATATTTTGTGTGTTTTTGTGAACCCTTAGTGGTTGTAGGAGTTTGTTGAAATTTTCAATTAATCGAAACCATCACAGTTTATTTTAGAATTCAGCATAAAGTCACTTTTATAATGTCCTGTATTTGTATGTAGTACTGATTGTTCGATGGAAAATTACTGACATATTGAAAAGTATGATGTTGGAGAGACATTATAGCACTCACCTTGTTGTTGGTAAATCACCCATTAAATTCTTTGCGTATGGAGAGGCGTTTCGTGGTTCGAATCCGTCTCGAATAGTTCTGTATTGAGAAATATTTAAAAGCACAACAATGTAAATCATTTGAGGAAATCATTGTGTCTAAATTCATTAAAAACGAGTAACTGGTTAAAGTACGTGTTTATATTCGGCTAACACGTCGAGAATATTTTGTGTGTTTTCGTGAACCCTTAGTGGTTGTAGGAGTTTGTTGAAATTTTCAATTAATCGAAACCATCACAGTTTATTTTAGAATTCAGCATAAAGTCACTTTTATAATGTCCTGTATTTGTATGTAGTACTGATTGTTCGATGGAAAATTACTGACATATTGAAAAGTATGATGTTGGAGAGACATTATAGCACTCACCTTGTTGTTGGTAAATCACCCATTAAATTCTTTGCGTATGGAGAGGCGTTTCGTGGCTCAAATCCGTCTCGAATATTTCTACTTTTATAAGTAATTAAAAAATATTTTCAAAATTAATCACATGGTGAATTTATTATATCTCAAGTAATTATGAGTTAACTGGTTTAATGTTCTTCTTTAATGAAATATCATGCACCTTTTTATCCTCAATTACCGTCATTTTCGTAACAACGTGTATCAATATTGTTGTTCCAATTACTAATTATTATTTTACTGGAGATCTATATGATGTTGAAACTCCGCCTGGAGTTCCTCCGGGGGCTACTGCCGGTCCCAAGCCCGGATAAAGGAGGAGGGTTGGGCATGGGGTTAGCGTCCCCATCCCGTAGAAAACTAACTCGCTAAAAAACGCTAACCAGAAAAAATTATTCAAACCTTTTAAACTCTGCCCTGGGAGTCAGAAGGTCTTCATTCAGAAGAATTATGACGCCTCATGATGAAAGCCGAATTCCTTCGGAAGTTACGAGGCCGATGCCCCTTCTGACAACCAGAGCGACCATTTATTTAGGTACATGGAATGTTCGTACAATATGGGACACCGGAAGAGCCTTCCAAATTGCTGCAGAAATGAGAAGATACAACCTAGAGGTACTTGGGATCAGTGAAACACATTGGACACAAGTTGGACAACAACGACTAACTACAGGAGAGATCCTGTTATACTCCGGCCATGAAGAAGAAAATGCACCACATACACAAGGAGTTGCATTGGTGCTGTCCAAACAAGCACAAAATGCACTTATAGGATGGGAATCTCATGGACCAAGGATCATCAAAGCCTCGTTCAAAACAAAGAAAGAGGGCATTTCAATGAACATCATCCAATGCTATGCGCCTACCAACGACTACAATGAAGACGCTAAAGATCAATTCTACAATAGGCTGCAGTCAATCGTCGAGAAGTGCCCAACAAAGGACCTGACCATTCTGATGGGAGATTTCAACGCCAAGGTTGGAACGGACAACACTGGATATGAAGACATCATGGGACGACACGGACTGGGAGAAAGAAACGAAAATGGTGAGAGATTTGCAAATCTATGTGCCTTCAATAAGCTGGTCATAGGCGGCACCATATTCCCACATAAACGCATACACAAAACCACATGGACTTCACCGGATCACTCTACACAAAACCAAATCGACCATATTTACATCAACAAAACGTTCAGGAGGACTATAGAGGACGTGAGAACCAAGAGAGGAGCTGATATAGCATCAGATCATCACTTACTGGTCGCCAAGATGAAATTGAAACTCAAGAAGCACTGGACAACGGGGCGGACAATATCACAAAAGTTCAACACGGCCTTTCTTCAGGATACTAACAAACTCAACGAATTCAAGACAGTCCTCAGCAACAAGTTTCAGGCCTTTCATTATCTACTCAATGGAGAAGGAACTACTATGGAGAGCAACTGGAAGGGGATCAAAGAAGCAATCACTTCAACATGTCATGAGGTTCTGGGCCACAAGAAGCACCATCACAATGAATGGATCACTGTTGATAAACTGGATAAGATTCACGAAAGGAGGAACAAGAAGGCAGCGATCAATACCAGCCGAACAAGAGCAGAAAAAGCCAAGGCACAAGCTGAATACACGGAAATAAACAAACAAGTGAAGAGGAGCATCAGAACCGACAAACGTAAATATGTGGAAGATTTAGCAACGACGGCGGAAAAGGCTGCAAGAAAAGGAAACATGAGATAACTATATGACACGACAAAGGAACTCTCTGGAAATCGCCACAAACCAGAACGACCAGTGAAAAGCAAAGAAGACGAGGTAATCACCAACATTGAAGAGCAACAAAACAGGTGGGTAGAACACTTCAAAGAACTCTTGAATCGACCAGCTCCACTGAACCCACCTAACATCGAAGCAGCACCCACGGACCTCCCAATCAATGTTGGCCCACCAACAATTGAAGAAATCAGCATGGCCATCAGACAAATCAAGAGTGGCAAAGCAGCAGGACCGGACAACATCCCAGCAGAGGCACTAAAAGCAGACGTAGCGGCAACTGCAAGGATACTCCACATTCTCTTCAATAAGATTTGGGATGAGGAACAAGTACCAACAGACTGGAAAGAAGGACTTCTGATCAAAATACCAAAGAAAGGCGATCTCAGCAAGTGTGATAACTACAGAGGCATCACTCTTCTCTCAATACCGGGAAAAGTCTTCAACAGGGTATTGTTAAACAGGATGAAGGACTGCGTAGACGCCCAACTTCGAAACCAACAGGCAGGATTCCGTAAGGATAGATCGTGTACAGACCAAATCGCAACTCTACGGATCATTGTGGAACAATCAATTGAATGGAATTCATCACTCTACATCAACTTCATTGACTACGAAAAGGCATTTGACAGCGTGGACAGAACAACACTATGGAAACTTCTTCGACACTACGGCGTGCCTCAGAAGATAGTCAATATCATACAGAACTCATATGATGGATTACACTGCAAAATCGTGCATGGAGGACAGTTGACAACGTCGTTCGAAGTGAAGACCGGTGTTAGGCAAGGTTGCTTACTCTCACCCTTTCTCTTTCTCCTGGTGATCGACTGGATCATGAAGACGTCAACATCTGAAGAGAAGTGCGGGATACAATGGACATCTAGGATGCAGTTGGATGATCTAGACTTCGCAGACGATCTGGCCCTTCTATCCCAAACGCAACAACAGATGCAGGAGAAGACAAACAGCGTGGCAGCAGCCTCAGCAGCAGTAGGTCTCAATATACACAAAGAGAAAAGCAGGATTCTCCGATACAACACAGCATGCACCAATCCAGTCACAATTGGTGGAGAAGATTTGGAAGATGTAAAAACCTTTACCTATTTGGGCAGCATCATTGATGAACAGGGTGGATCTGATGCAGATGTGAAGGCGCGGATCGGCAAAGCAAGAGCAGCGTTTTTACAACTGAGGAACATCTGGAACTCAAAACAACTGTCAACCAACACCAAAGTCATGGTTTTCAACACAAATGTCAAGACAGTTCTACTGTATGGGGCGGAAACCTGGAGAACTACAAAAGCCATCATCCAGAAAATACAGGTGTTTATTAACAATTGTCTACACAAAATACTACAGATCCATTGGCCGGACACTATTAGCAACAACGTACTGTGGGAGAGAACTAACCAGATCCCAGTGGAGTAAAAAATCAGGAAGAAGCGCTGGAAGTGGATAGGACACACATTGAGGAAAGCACCGAACTGCGTCACAAGACAAGCCCTCACATGGAATCCTGAAGGTCAAAGGAAAAGAGGAAGACCAAAGAACACATTACGCCGAGAATTGGAGATAGACATGAGAAAAATGAACAAGAATTGGATGGAACTAGAAAAGAAGGCCCAGGACAGAGTGGGTTGGAGAATGCTGGTCAGCGGCCTATGCTCCATTGGGAGTAACAGGCGTAAGTAAGTAATATGATGTTGAAGTTATGCCCAAATTTAGTGTGTGATGCAATATCTATATTTTAGGAAAACGTATTCTTATATCTTGTAATGTCTTTCTCTCTTTTGTTCACTAAGAGAATAAGCTACATATTATTTGATAGGACAAAGCCTTTGACATGTCAGCTAGTTGCGATACCAATTCTGTTTGGCCTTGTATTTGCCTTTTCATGTTTTTACCCATTTTATTTTAGCCGAGTTCTTTTCATGTTCATATGTAGAATGTGTTACTGATTGTAATAAAAACTACTACGAATACCTCAGGTAAACCAATATTTGTTAAATTTTAATCTTTTTCAGTCAGTACAATCACAATAACTTACTTACTGGTTAGCGTTTTTTAGAGAGTTAGTTAGTTTTCTACGGGTTGGGGTTGCTAACCCCATGCCCAACCCTCCTTTATCCGGGCTTAGGATCGGCAGCAGCCCCCCCTCCACTATAACATTTCCCATAATTCGTATTTCAACAAGACACTTGATGTTTTATTCTGATTTGTTATCTTTACTTTTAATTTGATAACCTCTCTCTGATGGAAGTCAGGCTTCATTACTATGCATTTAGGGTTGTTCTGTTGCTGTTTTCTCTTAGATTAATATCTTGCCTTATTCGTGAGTTTTACTGTTTTAGGGTCGTTGTCTAACCGTTGTGTGTCAGTAGCAATATTGTCCTGTTCATAATAACGTTGCATGTTAGGGAATCTATATCATTCTTAACCTGAATTACCATAGGCCTAACTGAGCTGATTTCAAGAAATAAAAAATGAGAAATAAATAAATATTGTAGGGAAACAATGAACGAACAGACAAATTTTTGCTAAACTGTTTCTAAAAATTCAACTCTGTTTGATAATTATCGAAACAAGAACTGATGGAGTGCTTTTACCTGTACGAATCGATCGGACGCGAGCGATCATAATCATTCCATTTTGAATACGACCTACAGTGGAATGACAAGAATAAAAAATAACTGATTGTTCAACTCGTTGTATTAGGGAATAATCACTTTCTTTATCATAAATGTAAAAAAATGATTATAAGCAGTATATATTACTGAATAACTAAAACGTTGAGGTCTTCAACCATAATTGATACTATAATTTATGCCAATCGCGTAGGTCTACTTGCACGAAAATGAAAGAACAATCAAATGTGTTGTATAAGTAAACAAAATGTTTGACAAAAACTACCCGTTAAAGTGAATCCGAAATTCATTTCTTTAGTGCCTATGGATGCTATTTGTAATTTGGAAAACGTTACCACAAACCTGTCGGTAAGATTAAAGAAACACAGATTAATCGCCAATCACGATTTATCTCTAGGCTTTTCTTACAATAACTATTATGGTAAGGGATATAAAGAAACAGTATTTCATCTGAAATGAATTTACCATTGATCTTTATTTGTGGAAAATAACAGGTTGGGAAAAACAGTGACTAAGTTAATAAAAGCATTTTTTATAATTAAAATAACTTTCAAAGCGTACATATTATATTTAGTGAAAATAAAAAAGTATTTTATGTTGCTCTGTGTTAATAATGTTTATATTGCGAAAATAATTGCAAAAATAACTGAATAGATCACTAATTTCACCACGTTGATAACGTACAGAAAGAACAATTGTTAGGATGCTGTTAGTGAAGATAATTTATTACCTTGCTTTATTTGACATGTCGTTGTACATATTTGACGGTTTCATACGATCATACGCATCCTACAACATTAGATAATGGTAGAAATTCAATATCAATGTATGATAGTGTGTACTTTTTTCACTTGCTCATGGAATTCATATTTCAGGATACATTTTAAATATAGCTGTCCCAAAGTACAGATAATCGGATATATACAGAAGTAGTATAAAAGGTATAAATGACTACAGATTATAGTGAATTGCATAATATGTTGATTTACTCAATTCACTGGCATTGTACGAATATATCTTGATCATTAATGAAACGTACCTATTCGATCATTATTTATCTCAAATAAATATAAGATTTCTATGTAAACAACGAAGATAATATTGACTCTGAAACTGAACAGCTCAAAGAGATATTCAAGAGCACTTAATGAGAGTATTTATTTATTTATTTGAAATATCAGTTTCCTAAGGTAACCCAAACAAAATCTTGCATAAGAATATTTACTGTTCTAAACTGAATGTCGTCTGTTTTCTCAATAGTCCAAGTTGTTGAATTTTTAATTACGATTACGATCCATTTTTTCTTTTATTTCATGAGCCTTATTCTGTCGTCTCCCAAACCGATTACTTCACATTACTTAATAACTACAGATTCTGTATAAACCTGTGAATTAAATCTATTAATAAGAAAATTAAGTATTGGATATTTCAATATTACTAACTCTTGTGTTGTAAGAAATTGTTTGCCTACATGTATTAAATTTGGTTTAGATTCGACCTAGGACATTATCTTATAGTAATAATCTGTATTTCTATCAAATGCAATTCAGGATCCTTATAAATAAAATAACACAATATCTTAGTTTGTTAGTATCAAACCAGTAATTTTGAGGACTTTATCGTATTAAAAGTATTATGATAAGAATTGTTATTTTAATGACCATGAAAAAGAATCCCGTTTTCATCTAATTTTAAATGGGTGTGCAGAAGCATTTTAAATACTTATATGAAAATAATTCAACATGATCCTTGAAATATGTAGGCTTTATTTTGCAGAAGTGGCATGAATCAACATAAAGCTGTAAACAAGTGAACATAGGTTTAAATTAAAATGGCGAAACCTTGATTTCCTAGTAAATTTATTTTATAGCATAGTGTTCAGTGGTAGTGTTTGACAAAAACGTTTCTTACTGATTAGAGAGTTGTAAATAAAATAAATATATTTTATAGTCTTACTTCATAAGTTGTATAGTATGGATATTAAATGAATCTATAGAAACATTAACCAGAGTACAAAATACCTTTGCCTCCGAAAAATTTATTTTTACAGCACAAATAATAGCTTACGAAAGTTATGTTGCAGTTTTGAATAATGACGGGTATTCACAAAAGTTTGTCTTCAAAACGTTTATCACCAATATGGTTGTGACTTATGATGCCTACTATACACAAACACTCTATAAATCATCCAAACTGTTATGGATTTTGATAATTACACGAAAGTTTAATGCCATTTTGACCTCACAAATGTAAAATGATAGTCTCTATCCTACCGCTCTCTTCGCGTCATAATACTAGTCAAAGTCCAAATCTACCTCAATTTAAAAAACACGACCTGCTTCAAAGTTATGATGACAACGTATTGTTTAATAGTCTCAGGGCAGAAAAGTAGTTAAAATGTTAACTGAAAAAAGCAAGCAAAATTGTAATGCATGGAAAACTAGCGAGTGCAATCGGAATGTATCTCGTCAAAATGAATTTACCATATAATTATTCATGTTTTGACCCTCAGTTGGCTGTCCTCTATAGAAACGTTGTCCATATATTTGTTCTTTCATAACATTCCCTGGCACACCTCTGTAAAACACCTGCTGGATAAATTTCATTCAAATTTTAACGAATCAGTATCAATATCAAAGTTTTATCGTGATCAGTTAGCCAATTTATTAGCTAATCATGTGATCTAACCAGGAACAAAGTTCTCTCAGGAACCAGTATTTAATGCTCTTAAGTGGCCTACCTGTAAAGCTACTTAGAACATACTTCTAAATTTTTAGGCGTAACTTACAATGTATACATCTGAAGTGCGTGTTCAAATAATTAAGATGACGATTCGAGCAATAAATATTGACTTAAGTACTGTAAGAGACTACATGCAAACAATGCAGTCCGTCGATTTTAATTCATTGTACAAGTTCTAAGCAAGGTTTATAGGATCAGACGTCTAATTGGCCAAGCAATAAAGTCTACCGTGTTCGAATTCAGAAAAAGGTCATTATTCACATACCCTCTAAAACGCTTGCAAGACTGATTTTCTTTTTACTGCACGTTCGATAAAGTTATTGAGTAAAGCAAATCATTTTCTTAAATTTATGGGTACTGATTTTAAACCTATAGGCTGATGTAACAATGAGTTGTATGTAAATAAATAATTCAGCATCAAATAAGGTAGCTTAGATCATAATTCATATTGAATAAGCAATAGAATCTAGACTCTGGACATTTCGATATGTTTCGGTCTAAAATAAAATTATTATCTGTAAGTTTTATTCGCTTTGTTAGAGGGGGTAAAAATTTCACAAAACTTTTTAGCACTAACCACCAAGTCAGTATACAAGATCAAACAAGATACCATTCACTCCTTTATTTCTACGTTAGTCAAGAACAGGAATAAATGAAATCACCACCAACAGACGTTTTCGGAAAAATAGTTCAAAAACGGTGTAATTAAACTTCTTTACTTCAAACATCATGTCCAAATACATAATAGCGTACAAATATTCGTCATTTTATCCAATATAAATATTTCTAATGTATCGTTTGTGTACCTTGTTTTCTTTAACTACATAATACAAAAGACTATTGTCTTCAACTAGTCTAAGTGCCTTTTAGTTCGGTTTATACTGCCTACTTGGACATCGAAACCACCAGCACGATTATTACATCTGGTTATTTAGCCTATCGGAGTAGGATAAAAAGCCTTCCATAAAATTCGTCTTTTACCTAATCCGAATGTAATCAGTGAGCGACTAAACGAAGATAGCGAAAAACCAACATCGTGCGTCAATATCTTTCTGAATTCTCACTGTCCTGTTTGGTCGAACAAAGCAAAAGCGACGCCTTATCAGAATCCATCCAGAAATAATTTGTTCGGCACTTTCACTTCATACTATAATTGCTTCAAAGAGAACACGGAAAGTAACAATGAAGACCTCGAAGACACGAAGGATAAGTCGTGCGGGTTCTTCATACTGACTAGGTGGGGTCAAATGATGGACTATGTTGCTTGCTGTTGGAGTAGGCTAGAAGAATACTAAGAGCGACCGAACCATGACGTGGCACTAGTTCTTGGAGTAGCTAAAAACTGGTCTGAGATACATTGGTTGGTGTAGACTAACAGAATGAATTTCAAGTGACTATCACAACTCGTAGTTGAAAGCTTTGAGTGACATGGCTTAGAATCGCCTTCAGTGGAGCAGATAGGTTTGTTATTTCTCTTTCCGTGAAGTTTGTGTCCTAAAATATCATGATACCTTTGAACCGATTTTTTGTCACCCAAGTTCGTCCAATAATCCTAGTATCTTTCTTACCTCTCTTACTCGGGTATTTGTTTAGAAATAATTTTAATTAGCAGCGTTAGTGCCGTATTAGAACTTGAATCAATATATAGATATATGTCTATCAGGTTTTAAGTTACATATGACTAACTGAAACTAATCTATGGATTTTCAAACACAGGTCTATGTTTAAGACAGGTCCCAGATTCTATAGATTGTCACTTTGGTATCATACAAGACCAGACAAAGTGGATTCAAAAATTAAAGTGATAACTAAACGAATATATGAGTTAAGTGCTTAAAGCATCTACGGGAAGGTCAACCAAATCTCAAAAACATTCTGTAAACTCAAAGCGATTTCTGTTTCTGAATTATATTTTTAACAAACTCTGCGCCATAACCGAAAATACGAAACAAAGTACATAAACTTTTAGTTCATCAGCTCAATATAAGCCCTAATTAAAGCTTCTGAAAATGTTGTGCAATTGTCAATGTTAATTCTTTAACAAGTACACAAATTGTGACACCTTACTATATTGCAGTTTCATGTTTTTATGAATAAAAAAGAGAACTGATTTAAATACCAAGGGTTTTCAAAAGATACACTAAATAAACACTCAATTATCTGACGAATGACATAAAACTGAGGGCAGTCACCTTTCTAGGTAGCAACACTTATGTTAAAAAACTGAATTATTCGTTTATAAGGATTGCAAAACTCTGAAATTAAGTTGTCTTAAATCGCTGCAAACTGCTTTAGAATCCTTCGTGTTTAGAAACTCATTTAAACTGACAAAAACGAGGTGTGAGTTGAGTTTACACTATAGCGTTATTACAAGTTAAAAGTTTTATTTCATGAATATCAGATAAAAGCATCAATAAATTTGATAAACCCTAAAAACCAATGCAATGCAGATAATGTTTTCGTATAGACGAGTTTACAATTAGCAGTATGTATTTTTAAGAATAAAGCCATCTTAAATCCCAAAAGCCAAAATTTACTGTCATGTACAATGGAAGATAAAGAGCTAAAGTTCTTGACTTTCAATCATATCGTATACTAATAACTCGCTCCTCTCAATTTATTTTAGTCAACCATGTTCTGACACAGATAGACGTGACTATAAACCTGACACATAAATCAAGATTCATATTATAAGCAAAATTTGAACTATTCGTTTCTAAAACATGTGATGCTTAACTCCCTTATGATGGCTTTCTCAGAGAAGAGCATTAAGTGTTGAATAAATACCATGACGAATTTGAATAAAATTTCAGAATCTTGGTGCTCAAATCTTTCTGAGCAAAGTAAAAAGACTTTGCATTTCAAGATTTACATGTTCGTTGAACGAGAAAAGTATAAAAAGTGTAGTATGCAATGTAATATGTAAAATGCTTTTCCTATAAAGTAATCATGACTAAAACCTTTTGTCTGACCAAATAAACGGTTGTTCCCAGATTCAAAATGCTAGTGAGCACACAATAAACTGAAGTTTATCCAAATACATCTTTAAATCTGAGATAAAACATGAAGTGCAGTCATAGGTATAAGCTTACTTTCATGCGATCGTCAACAGGTTCCGTGTAATTACGCAAGTTATTTTCTCCTTCTCTAATAAAAGAACTTCTAACGTTTTGTACCATATCATCAGTCCTGTAAGGAATCTTTTTTTCTTTACGACAGCGTGGCATACTGAGTTACCACACGTTATTCTCGGATACTTAAAATAGAGTTATAACATCACTAAAGCTCAAGGTCACATTTTGGTACACTCAAACACAGCAATAGATAAACCCTATAATGTGGTACTAATGGTAACACTATATCAGATACAACATGACTGAAACAAAAGCCAAGATATTTTTTTTAAGCCTGACGAGATGCTTATTGAAAAACAGTTAAACAGTAGTTCTACGCCGATAATATTTGATTCATTAGGAAGGAAATTTTATTTGCAAAATCTCAGTGAGAGAACTTTCAGAAAACTCAACGCTTCAGTTGGTAGTCTGGTGCGAAATTTCCGAGGAAATCTTATCGAACATAAGGCTAGTGTAATAACTTCCCAATCAAACGCTATGTGATTGATAAACTTACGTTTCATCAGACCTACGTACACATATCTACACAGTTATTTTAGCACACTTATTTCACATTTGATAATTCTGATGTTTTGTTGAAAATGCTTGGACCGGGGGCATTGACTGTACTCCAATTCCCGTCTCCCAACTTATTGCAAATATAGTGATGATGTCACAGGTATTCAGTGTTTGACAACGCTTCTACCAATAACATCTTCTAATATAATTCGTTCCCACCCAGAGAAATCAAAAGACAGAGTCGAGGAGATCGGAAGAGTATATTTGGCGATGACCAATATATCGGAATTCTCTGATCTAATCTGGCTAGCGAATGCGGTTGATGTTGAGCACGGCGTTACCACACGTGATCTGGTGCGGATGCCTGACCGAGCGCCTTCAGCTAGATGAGTCCACTAAAACATATGGTCAGCATCCAATGTCGAAAACTTAGAGCTATTTATTTTGGGGATTTATTTACCGCTACAGATCACTCATCCCCTAGCGGGGCAGTGACGACCCTAAGACGTGGGCAGCCAGAAGTTTAAACCCAACGATTTTGTCGTTAGTAAACACTCTTCTGATAGCTTACTAAGTTTAGCAACGTCTGGTCGTCTTTCCTTACTATATGGGACCGAGGTACAACATACTAAAAAAAGAAAAAAGTTACAACGAAAATTTCGACTCCTTGTAAACTGCATCGTTCTTTTCCAGCCGTCCTGGAAAAGAAAAAAGAAAACGTAAGTGCATGTCGAAATACACTCGTGTGTGCAAAAAAAACAATGTCGGCGGATAAAAAATGGAAAATAAACTCATGAACACGTTATAGCTTTAAAAAAATTGTTTTTTTTGTTTTGTTTTTTTAAATAGAAATTAAAATATATAAGCATATTAAAATTGTTTTTTGTTTTTTAAATAAAAAATAATATTAAATGTCGAGAAGTGCCTTACGTGCAATAGTCGTTTAAATGTTCTGGAAATCTCACCCTTCTTCCAGAACGCGTCGTTTTAAGTTCATTTTCGGATACTGTCGAAGTATCATCGTGTGTGTTGGTTGTCGGATGAGGTATTATAAGTGTCGGAGTCGTGTCGTTCGATTGTACCGAAGGAAAATCCACGTAGATAGGATTTCCTTCTAAATACGCTGCTTTTAAGCGATCGATACTGATGCTATCGTTGGTTCCGTTCTTATCGACTATATAGTACTTAGATTCACGTTGAAGAACTTTGAAGGGTCCTTCGTATGCTGATTCGAATGGTCGTCGATGCGAGTCTCGACGAATGAAAACGTGTGTACTATATCGTAAGTCAGGTTGAACGAAAACATCAGTTGATTGAGGTCGAGTGGAAGCAGGTTTAACTGATCACATTGCGTTTGTAAGCCTGTTCGTGTAGGAGGTTAGATGCATGTTCATTGAAAAGGATGAAGGATCCACGAATTCTCCTGGAAGTCGAAGTGTCGTTCCATAAACGAGTTGAGCTGCAGTGCATCCAATGTCAGCTTTCACTGCATTGCGGATACCTAGTAAGACAAGTGGAAGAGCGTCAGTCCACTGTGAAACGTTTGCAGCTAATAGAGAAGCTTTTAGTTGTCGGTGAAAACGTTCTACCAACCCGTTTGCTTGTGGGTGATAGGCGGTCGTTCGGAAGCGAGTGCTTCCTAAAAGTGTGGTCAGACGACGGAAAAGATCGGATTCAAACTAACGTCCGCGGTCTGTAGTGATGGTTGAAGGGCAGCCAAAGTTTGCTAACCATCGTTCGACGAAGGTGCGAGCCACTGTTTCAGCAGTGATGTCCTTGATAGGTACTGCTTCTGACCATCGAGTGAAACGGTCTACGCAAGTCAAGAGGTAAGAGTATCCATTTGAATCTGGTAAAGGTCATACCGAATCCAGATGAACATGGTCGAAACGAGCATCGGGAGTTTTAAATGAGTCTAAGGGACATTTATTGTGTCTGATAACCTTAGATTTTTGACAGCTTACACAGGAGCGTGCCCACTCCTTCACGTCTTTATTCATGCCAGGCCAGCGAAACCGTTCCGCTATAAGCTTGATGGTTGCACGAACACCTGAATGAGAAAGTTTGTGCAATGTATTGAAGACATTGCGTCGATAATGTTTCGGCACTATTGGGCGATCCCTACCCGTAGATGTGTCACACAGTAAAGTTTCCTTACCTGTTACCATCTGTTTGATGTGTAGTTTGAGGGTTGTAGACGATAACTCGTGCTGAAGATCACTGTCTTCTTTTTGAAGCTCGGCGAGTTTAAGAAGGTCGATTCCTTGGAAACTGTTCAAGGAAGTTATGTGAGATAAGGCGTCTGCAACTACATTGTTTGCTCCAGAAATATGTTGAATATTTGAAGTAAACTGCGAAATGTAGTCCAGTTGTCGAGACTCACGGGCGGAGTACTTGTCAGAAGGAGAGCTTAACGAGAAAGTGAGTGGTTTATGGTCCGTGAAAAGAGTGAATTCACGACCTTCGATGTAGTGTTGGAAATGCCGTACAGCACAATACATAGCTAGGAGTTCCCTAACGAATGTGCTGTACCTCGATTCGGTGTCTAGCAACCTTCTAGAGAAAAATGCCAAGGGTTGCCAGGAGTTGTTAACCCATTGTTGTAAGACTCCTCCGATTGCTGAGTCGGATGCGCCTACTGCGATACTAATGGGTGCTTGGGTGTCCTGATGTGCAAGCATTGTTTCTTTAGCGATCAGTTCTTTAATTGTGGAGAATGCTTTTCGTGTGGTGTCGTCCAAATTAATGGATTTTGCATTTCCACGAAGTTGGTTGGTTAGAGGTTTCATGAGTAATGCGCATTTCGGTATGAATCGTCTATAGAAACTTACAAGGCCGTTAAACGTTCGTAGTTGCTTGATCGTAGTCAGTTCTGGGTAATCCAGAATGGCCGCCACTTTGGTCCTAGGGGCTCGAATGCCTTGAGCATCTGTAGTATGTCCTACGAAGTCTAGTGAGTCGGTTCCGATTTGGCATTTCAGAACGTTTACAGTAATGCCATGTTTTTGTAGTCGTTCGAAAACAAGATCCAGATGCTTGAGATGTGTTTCTCTGTCCGGACTTGCGATTAGACAGTCGTCAACACACGCATGTACGAAGTTGAGACCTCGAAAAACGTCGTCTATGAATCTTTGGAATGTTTGAGCAGCGTTCCTTAGACCGAAAGGCATTCGCAAAAATTCATAGAGTCCGAAGGGAGTTATGATGGCTGTTTTCGTTATGTCGTCAGTAGCCATAAGGATTTGGTTATACGCTTTAACCAAGTCGATTTTCGAAAAGACAGTTGTACCTTTCAAGGTAGCTGTCAAATCGTGAATGTGAGGCAACGGGTAACGATCGGGAATGGTTTTCGCGTTCAGTCACCGATAGTCACCAGTTGGACGCCAATCGTTGCTGTCCTTTTTAGGGACCATGTGCAACGGAGATGCATATGGGCTGTTTGACGGTCGTATGATTCCTAAGTCCATCATGTGATCGAATTCGTTTTTCGCTAACCTTAGCTTTTCAGGAGCTAGTCGTCGTGCTTTAGAGAATGCAGGTGGTCCTGTAGTCGTGATGTGATGTGTAACGTTGCTGGTTACACATGGTAGTTTCGGTTGAGTTTGTTGTATCCCAGGGTACTTATCGAATAGTGGTTGATAGAGTGGGTCTATCATATGCTTAACTGTGACTGGGGATAATCTGCAACCAGAAAAGGAAGTTACGCAAACGGACAAATTAGTGTTTCCGTCTACTAGCCTACGTTTGCGAGTGTCGATGATCAGATTGTGGTGTTGTAGAAGGTCCATACCAATGATTGGCATAGAAACATCTGCAACAACGAAAATCCAGTGGATGGGTTTGCGTAAACCCACGTTAAGGTAAACGTACCTTTTACCATACGTAGCGATAGGTTTTCCGTTTGCCGCCTGTAAATTTAGAGCCGATTCTTGAAGCCGATGGTTGGGATTCGCTGGGAGAACGCTAACTTCTGCGCCAGTGTCGATGAGGTAGCGAACTCTCGTTGTCACATCTGTGACGTACAACAGACGGCTATGTTCGCCGGCTACGGTTGCCGTTTACGCGTGCCGGCTTGAAAGTTTTCTGAGTTGTTTTTCGAGTCAGTCGGTTTCGTGTTGGGAAAATCGCAGGGTTTTCTGCAATTTCTGGAAAACTTTCCATACTGGTTATGATACCAGCACCAGTCGGGGTTATCTGTCTCTCGTGGTCTAGAGACAGATCGCTAACGTGAAATGCTTCTACGTGGTGTGCCCGATCTCTTACGGTCGGTACGAAGACTAAGATAACGCGTGAGTCGGTTATATCATTCTGAGTCGTGTGAGGCTTTTCTTTGACTGAAAATACCTCGGTAGTAGATTTCGTAATTTCTAGAATGCGGTCGGCAGATGCAGCTAGCTCGTCTAAGCCGTTGTTCTGAAACGAGACCAGAACTGCTTGCACCTGTTGGGGAAGTTTTGACAAGAAGAGTTGTTTGAATAGACCTTCGTCGAAAGTTCTTAGGCCTATAACCTCTCTCATCCGTTGCAACATGTCTGTCGCAGAACCGCGTTGCAGGTCGATGTTATTGAAGAGTTGATCTAAACTTTGTCGATCGG